AGCAAACTCAGGGAGGCAGTGAAGGACAGGAAGGCCTGGCGCAATATGGTTCATGGGGTCACGAAGAGTCGGACATGACTTAACGACTAAACAACAACAATCACTATCGTTATCTATTTTCTTAATATGTGCATTTTATTGAGCTATGTTATATATTGAGGAATCAATTTTTTTTCTTGATCTGCCAAAGATAAGTATTTTTTAAAAAGCAGCTGTGTCTTTTCTTAACTCAACTGACAGTTTAATATTAAAATTCAGAATTATTACAAATAAGAAACACAGAGTTGTCATTGATAACATATATATTATCTTCAGATATATAAAAGTATGAATTTGGGAAGTGAATTGACAGAAATGGTCAGTGAGGGAAGAGACTTTGAATTAGGATCTGGAACTGAATACAGTATGCAACTTATATCCAGTCCTGTAATATATGCATATTCAACTGATAATCACTTTATTTTGTAGGTAATGAAGACGTGAAGACAGCATATATCACACTCAATTTTTTCCTATTTGGTGTCCTTTTCTGCATTTGGTGTTTTTCTGAAGAGGCCAGCTCCTTGTGAACTCATTTCATGGAATGGCAAGAGGTTTCTTGGCCCAAACCATTACTGTAGTTTCTCTTTCTGTAACTCTTTCAGTTGTTACTGCAAAGTCCTGCCACAATTTCTCTCCAGTATTCCAGATAACAAGGAATCTTGCTTACAGGTATTCATTCCATGGTCTAATTTACTTTCTATACTTATCTCTGTGTCAGACAGCCAGTGCAGTTAAGGTGTTTGACTGGCACTGGGAGCACCCAGGCTCCACTCTCAGCTACAGAAGCTCCCTGAGTGCCTGTAAGCTAGTCACTCTCTCAGCGCAACCTATTACATAGAAATGTTGTGGGGGGAAATGGAGAAAAAGGCCCTACATGAGCCACTTTTTGCTTCTAAATAAAAGGTGAGATATAAACCTAGCAGGCCAACCAATGCATTGCTCAAGTCCAGAAAATTGCCATAACCCAATATTTTGTGCTGAGAGTTTATTAACACCTAGGATATCTTTATAGAACAATGAGATCATAAATTTAGGTACACATTTAATGTGTTTAGAATTATTTGCTTGTATTAACAAGAACTACATTGCAATGTTTACAAATTATTCTATGTATTCTCATCAAACAGAAATGCTTCTGGCCAGGATTCTAACCAGCTTTATGCTTTATGCTTTATGAATCACCCCATGCCTCTTCAGTGCCCATTTTCTGTATTTAGCTCAAATGTTATTCAAAATTCCCTCATTGGTGTAAATGTACACATATACAGATACTTCTCCTTGTTTCTCAGTGTCCTTGTCAGTTTAGTGTTAGAGGCAATAATCATTTAATTGTCTAATAATGCTGGTAAATTAATGGTGTTATCTGTTAAGTATTGCACATACCCTTTCCTACTTTCTGAAAAACTGATGCTAGGAAAGCTTGCCATGCCATTCCTGTGATCTCCACATACCACCGTACACATGTAGTGATATTGATTTACACAGTGTTCAAATTACAGGTTTGCTAGTGAGTCTAGATCTTGGATAGGAGGAAAGTTCCTATGTTTCTAGAATTCTGTTTTATTTTTTGTTTACATTAAAACAAATCATTCACATGATTTGAATCTTATTGAAATCTAACAAAATGAGATGTATTTTTCTGTACTGATTAAATGCTGGATATCCTCTTTATTCTAAGTGTAATAGATGAGCCGGCAACATTTTTCTAATAGCCTGTCAGATTCTGTAAAGAACGAAGCATCGCAGATTTACTTTTTTCTTTCTGTCTAAGTGTACCTCTATTTTCACAGCTCATCTGCACATCGCTGGTTCCATAGCGATACAACTAAAATGTCAGATTGTAAGGAGCCAAAAGAAAATTTGCATAAGAAAGCTAGGACATCCCCATATCCAGGATCAAAAGTTGAACGCAGCCAAGTACCTAATGATAAAGTGGACTGGTTGATCAACTGGAAGAACTACAGCCCTGTGGAATATACAGCACCAAGTGTTTTGGCAGGACCTAAATGGGCAGATCCAGAGATTGGGTGAGCGTTGTTAGTCACTCAGTAGGAGGAAGAGAGACAGAATGGTTTAATTTAAAAAAATAACTTCCCATTGGGTTTCTTTATATGAAAATGGGCAGGGTGCTTATGAAAATTACATAGTGGATAAATTATTCATACTTCAGATATTTGCACCAAATTATAGGGCATCTTCTATAGTCTTCCCAGCTCTGAAATTTCTGGATTGCTGAAAGTTACTGCAGCATATTTTATTTAACAATGTGTCTTCTAGGTTTTACATGATTAGATGAATTTACTTCATGTAATTTATGCATCATCTCTGTTATACTTAGGGCTGCTGATAGATTTATAAAATACAAATGCCTCTAGTACAGTGTTGTTCAAACTTGGCCACTTTAAGATGAGTGGACTTCAACTCCCAGAATTC